GTCCTGTCCCATGGAAACATGTAGCCATGTTTCCAAACGCCCAGCTGGGACACCGGTCAGGGGGACTCCCTGGGGGCAAAAGGACTAGGATTTGGATCACAGGCCTCTCAGAAGATCAGGGATGCTTGGCCGCCCTGCAAAGGGGTGGAGATCTAACCTGGCCTTTCGGAAACCTGAGCCCTGGGGTGGGGGAGAGTAGGAGGAGGGCCTGCCTGGCCCTGAGAATCCATGCTCCCCTCAGCCCCAGCTCCTCCTCTGCCGGGGCGCCCCTTCCCTGGGGCTGCTCCAGACTGTGCAAGCCTCTTCCATTCTCCCTTTGCCCCCTCCTCTGCCCCTAAGGTTTGGTGAACAGGCTGGGGCCACCAGCCAGCTCCATGGACTGGGTCTTTGCCTCTGCTCATCTTCCAGCTTTGAAAAGAAAAGAAGAAAGATCTGTGTCACTTTCCACTGAGGGTTTCTTCTCCCTGCTAAACTTTCAGAGAAAAAGACCCGACCTTGGATTGACTGCGGAAGAAGGGACAGAAAGAACCCAAGACGTTCCCCCAGGTATGAATTCTTCGCTGTTGCTGGGGTGTTGGAGGAGGGAGGTGGTGTGTGTGACATTTTCTCACTGGTCAGTTGAGGAGTTGTCTTTGATGATTCCCTTCTGACTACTTCATTCTATGATTCTACTGCCCTTAACGACATTCGGTCACTCAGCAAACGTTTCCTGAGTCCCTACCCTGTGCCAGTTGCTAGGGATGACTAAGATCTGCCCGGCCCTCGAGGAGTCAGCAGTCTAGATGAGGGGATACGAATAGCAATAAATCCAAACCAAACTCACTGCCACTGGCTTAATTCTGACTCATAGTGACCCGTTAGGACAAAGTAGAACTGCTCCATAGGGTTTCCAAGCAGTAAATCCTTATGGAAGCAGACTGCCAAATCTTTCTCCCGCTGAGTGTCTGGGGGGTTCAAATCACCAACCTTTTGGTTGGTGAATGTTTTAACCACTACACCACCAGACCTCCTTCTAATAGCAATAGTTATTGTATTTATGGTTGGCCAGGCACTGGGCTAAACATTTTATCAACGTTAGCACATTTAGCCTAGCAACAACTGTAAGAGGCATTGGCAGATGAGGACAGGGAGGCTTAGTGAGGTAAGGTCACACAGCTAGTAAGAGGTGGGAGCTGTTGATTCTAATCACCATGTTATGCCGCCTCCTTCCACTTGAAGAGACTAATGAAGGATGGGGAGGGAGCGTGAGAGTTCTTGAGAGACACAGTTCACTGTGAGCAGGGAAGTAACCTTAAGCCACATCTTGACCAAGGCTCCCAGGGTGTAGGGCAGGAACAGAGTGAAAGGACCAAGCTTGGACCTAGAGGGAGAGGCAGGAATCTTGAGACCACCAAGAGGTCTTGGGACAGCTGAGAACTGAGGTCAGTGTCCTCATGGTCAGGGTTCCTTCTCTCTCATTCTTGGGCCAGGTAGGGGATAAAGTGGGGAGACCTGAGGATTCCTGGCCACTTTTTTGGAAGCCGTCCCCACACTCCCAGGGTTGGAGCTAATGTGGCCTGGGGCAGGGAGCCAGTGTCCCAGCAGCCTGAGAGGTGGGTAGCCCAGAGGCCTGGGAGATGGGGGAAGGCCCAGGTACCTATGGGTCCTCCTGCCCCACAGCTCTCAGCTCCGTCTCCCAGCTGTCCCCAGGCCAGGCAGAGGGAGGACAAAAGCTGATTATTCCACTGGGGGCTGTACCAGGCCCCATGAATGGTGTATTGAGAACAGTGCACCCACATGGAGATAAGTTTTCACCCTTTCCCCGGCCAGGCTGTGTGTGTGCCAGGGCAGAGGCAAAGGCAGGGAGTGATGGGGTGGGTGGCTGAGTTCCTGCTGGGAGGAGCACCTCCATGTCCCCTGGCACCTTAATCTCAATATTTCCCAAACAGAACCATCCTCCTCACCATCGCCTCCTACAGTCTCCATGAAGGTGATAGACCCCAAGGCTGGGAGTCAACTGATATACTCCCATGCCCCACCTCCCCACAACCAACAGAAGCCCAGTCCTGCCAGTTCAGTCTCCTTAGATGGCTTTGCCATTGGTCCTTCCTCTCTGCTCCTCATTATCTGGGATCTGGATAACTGTATCAGCCTCTAAACCAGCCTCCCATCTCTCCCCCACTTGCTGCATCATTCATATACTTACTGTCATAATCTTGCTAAAAATCTTCAAGAAAAGAGGCCATGGGGCTGCTTCTGGAGTGCAGGGTGGTTGTTGTTGTTATGTGCCGTTGAGTTGGCCCCGACTCATAGCGACCCCTCCTTGGGTTTCCGAGGTGGTATCACTACGGAAGTAGATTGCCCAAACTTCCTTCCAAGGGTGGCTGGTGGGTTTGAACTGCCAGCCTTCTGGTTAGCAGTCAAGTGCCTTAGGCACTATGCTACCAGAGGTGTGAATGTCATTGGGGTCTACACTTAACATGGATACACTGTTCTGTGTGTATTCCTCAGTGCTGTTGCTGATGTTAGTGATTCCAACTCATAGTGACCACAGGGTGTGCAGAATACAAGTGTTCCGTGGGTTTTTCAAAACTGAGCATTTGGAGGCCTGTCTTCCTAGGCACCTTTGGGTAGGTTTGAACCACTAACTTTCTGGCTAGTAGCTGAGCACGTAACCATTTGTACCACCCAGGGGTTCTTCAATGGCTTCCTACCTCAAAATGGAAGAGTATTCCAAACAGCATTAATCTCCCACCCATCACCATTTTTTGCAGCCATGTGAACTATAATTTACTTAATATTTTCTCTTTAAATGATCTCATTTCTTTTGACTTTAATTTTCAAGAAAAACTTCATATTGCCCCAATAAATGGAAAACCAGAATCTTCTGCTATAAATTGTTATTGTTAATTGGTTCCAACTCACGCCAACCCCATGTACAATAGAACAAAACACTGCCTTCCTATAAATAGATGTCACTATAAAAAAAAAAAATCAATAAAAATATAACAATAACTATATTGTCTCTATTCTCCTCTATTTGGGTTGCCACCAGATGGGAGATTCAGAAGGTGAGGCTAGTCAAATGATACTAGAGGACTTCGGAGAGTGGGTTCCAAGGCTGGGACTTTATCCTTAGGGTACGGTACCTGTGGGGACTGCTAGGGAATTTAGCAGTAGAGAGAGAGAACAGATGGATGTGTAGTTCCCCTAAAATTATTTGAGTTGCCAAACTTTGGGATACGCTGCCCTACAGGATAGACTCTGAACTCTCAATACAGCTGCACCAGCCTCTCATAGTTTGGGCCCAGCCCGCTCTCCCAACCTCATTTCCACTTCTTGATTTCACTCAGGCTTTGCTACAGACAGGAATCCCTGGGTGGTATAAATAGTTAAAACACTCAGCTGTTAACCTAAAGGTTGGAGGTTCAAGTCCACACAGGCATCTCCAAAGACAGGCCTGGAGATCTACTTCCAAAAAGTTAGTCATTGAAAACTCTATGAGGATATGGGTGGAGCTTGAAGAAATTACACGTATAGAAATAAGGCAATCATAGAGGACAAATATCGTATGACCTTACTTACATAAAAATACAAGAAAAGGCAAACATATAGGGACCAAGGTTTATTAGTGGTCACCTAGGGGTGGAAAAAGAAGCTCTGGTGGCGTATCACCTAAGGTATTTGACTGCTAACCAGAAGGTTGGCGGTTCAAACCCACCAGCCACTCCACAGAAGGAAGACTGAGCAACCTACTTCCGTAAAGATTTACCACCTAGGAAACCCAAAGGGGGTTGCTATGAGTTGTAATTGATCAATGGCAGTGACTTTGGTTTTTTTGGTTTAGGGGTGGAAAGAAAGAGGAAAAGGCGCATCAATGGTAATGAAAAAATCATATTGGTTGTACAGCCAATTGTTATAATTGTTGACAATGACAAAAAAAAAAAAAAGAGTAGCTGCTGAGGTTGCTTATGTACAACCAAACACCTCACAGGATTTGGCTTCTTGGTTTGGAGATTTAGGATCATGGTTTCATGGGACATCCCAGTTAACTGGCCTAATATAACATGTCTAGTGCTTCTGTTCTACATCCTAGTTCATTGCAAAGTACTTGGGTCTTAAAAGCTTGCAAGTGGCCATCTAAGGCACAATAATTGGTCTCTGTTCACCTGGAGCAACAGAGGAAGAAAGGAGGGAGAGTCAAGGATAGAAGGAGGCTTCAGAACGCGTGGCTAATTGCCTCCATGAACAACTGCCACCTCTGCCGTGAGACCAGAAGAACTGGATGGTGCCTGGTTACCATAATTGAACATGTTGATCAAAGAGTCCATAGAAGAATCATGATCAAAAGGGGGAAAATGTAGAACAGAATTTCAAATTCTCATGGACTCTCGACTTTCTGGAGCCATGGAGGGTAGATGAATCCCTGACACTATTGCCCTGAGATAATCTTTAAACCCTAAACCAAAAATATCCCTCACATCATTTTAAAAACAAGTCTGCCTTGCACATTGCAGTCTTTTAAGAACTATCAATATGGGATTGAATAGACACCACCGATTTGAAAGATTAGATTAAGATTAGGGGGCAATGAGGTTATGTCAACGAGGGAAGAATAACTCAGAAGAGAAGGGTGAGTGAGAATGGTTGTACAACTTGAATGTAATCCGTGTCACTAAACTTGTAGAAACTGCTTAAAAAAAGAAAAGTCTAGAACGTAGTTGTACTCTGACACACATGATGTCCTCATAAGTCGGAACTAACTCGACAGCAACTGGTTTTTGGTTGTTGCTCCAGCCGAACTCAACTAATGACCTTAACTCATTAGTTTCCATACATGCTGTCAATTTCCTCAGCTCCCAGCTGTTGCGTGTGCTTTTCTCTTTAGTCTGAATGCCAGACTCAAGTGGGAACATCACTGCCCCCTGAAGTTTTCACTGTCCCCCACCCCCCAGCTAGAAGGAACTTCTTGGCATCTTTAATTCCAGATGTTCCATCTGTGTCTTCTCCACGGCCCCTTGATGGGACCACCTGAAAGGCCACCTACTGGCTGGGTGCACAAGGAAACAGAGATGAAAAGTGGTCCCCAGCTGGATGAGAAGAGCAGGGGGTGGAGGCCAGGAGATGGGGGCACTGCCCCTTCACCCCTCACCCCAGCCCTTTCCTTCTTCTTCCTCCTGCCATTGGGTGAGTGCTTTAACCTCCATCCTTGACTGTTTCCCTGTCTGGCTCTCAGTTTTCCCTGCTGTAAAATTACCGTGGGAGGTGGGTTGTGGACGAGCTGGCTTGCAATGTCCTTTCCAACTCTGACATCTGCTCAGGGTTGATGGAAGCTGAGGGTCTTAGTTTGGAGGTCTCAGTGCTGGGGGTGAGGGCTAAATGCACACAAGGGACCACTGGAAGTTGAGAAAGAGGGAAAGAGAATGGACTCATCCATCAGTGGCTGTTTGAGAGGTAGCTGGTAGACTAGACGGACTCACATGACCTACACTTAAGAAAGAAGAGAGTCTTGATTTCTTTGTCTGTAAAACGGGTACAGTAGGATGTGCCTCAGGGGGCAGTTGTAAAGATTTTATAAGATAATACATGTGTAAGTGTCTGAGAACTGTAGTATCTTGTGCACCACAAAGGGCTGTTAAACCAAAACCAAACTTACTGCCATCGAGTCGATTACAACTTATAGCAACCCCCATTGGGTTTCTGAGGCTGTAAATCTTTATGGGGGTAGATTGCCCCATCTTCCTTCCGCTGAGCGGCTGGTGGGTTGGAACCACTGACCTTCTGGTTTGTTGTTGTTGTTATGTGCTGTCGAGTTGGACCCAACTCATAGCGACCCCTCCTTGGGTTTCCGAGGCAGCATCACTACGGAAGTAGATTGGCCCATCTTCCTTCTGAGGAGTGGCTGGTGGGTTTGAACTGCCAGCCTTCTGGTTAGCAGTCAAGTGCCTTAGGCACTATGCTACCAGAGCTCCCTACCTTCTGGTTAGCAGCTGAAAGGCTTATCCACTACACCACCAGAGCTCCTTCAAGGGGCCTGTTCTTGGGCTTTACATTTTGTGTGGTAGGGCAATTTCCCTATTTTTCTTCTCTACCTCCCCTCCCAGGCCATGTGCTCAGAATTGTGTGGTGGATAAGAGCATGACTATCTGGGTTGGAATCCCAGCGGTAGCTTTATTTTCTGTGTGGCTTTGAGCAAGTTGGCAAACCTGGTAGCACAGTGCCTAAAGCACTTGACTGCTAACCAGAAGGCTGGCAGTTCAAACCCATCAGCCACTCCTCAGAAGGAAGGTTGAGCAATCTACTTCCATAGAGATACCTCCTCAGAAACCCAAGGAGGGGTTGCTACGAGTTGGAACCCACTCAATGGCAGTGAGTTTTGTAGTTACCAACTTCATAAATTGTCCTAAAGATTAAATGAACCGATCCACATAAAGCAATGAGCACAGTGTCCGGCATACATACAGGACCTCTAGTGGTTTAGTGGGTAAAGCATCTGGCTGCTAACCAGAAGGCTGGCGGTTCAAACCAACCAGCTGCTCCATAGGAGGAAGATAAGGCAATCTACTTCCCTAAAGATTTACAGCCTTGGCAACCCAATGGGGGTTGCTGAGTCAGAATTGACTTGATGGCAGTGAGTTTGTTTGTTTTTTGATATATAAATATGTGATAGCTGATACAGAAGGACTTATCACCCAGGTAAATCTTTTGGGGAAAAATCAAATGAATCACAAAGCCAATTTACACATTGGAGGTGGAGCTACTGAGCATCTACTGAGTAACAACAGGCTCTGGGCTGGGGGTTCTGAAGGACACAGGGGAGACAGGTACACCCACCTCACCAGACAGAGACCCTGAAAGAGGCCCTAACAGGGCCACATCCATGGTGCCCGGCTAACCCTCCCAAGTAGAGAGGGGGCTCCAAGCCAGGTCTTGAAGGGTCAGCAGGGCTGGAATGAACCAGGTTAGTCAGGAGGGCAGTCCAAGCACAGAAGACTACGCGGATAAAGGCCTGGAGTCAAGGTGCAGTAGACTGATGGGAGATTACGTGAGGGAAGGCTAGTTGGAGCACGCTAGCAGGCTTTGTGGAGAGGCCTCAAGGGCTGAGACTTCATCCTGCAAGACCTGGCTGTCGTCAGGCCTTTAGCAGTGATCCGTGTTTGGTTTGGTTTTTGTGTTTGAGGCGCATCTTTCTGGAGCTGCCAGTGGACCAATGGGAGAGGTGTGAGGCAGGGAGGCTGCTGGGAACAAGCAGGAAAAGAGATGGTGGGGTTTCCCAAAAGCAGGGGTAGTAGAGTCAAAGAGGAAGGGGCTGGTGAGGACTGCAGGGGCCTGTCGGCAGCCCCGTCCTATGGAGGGCAGAGGGGCCAATGGTCTTCCTCACTCTGTTTCAGCCAGCGCCCTACAGCCCACTCCACTGCCCTTTCCAGGTAGGTGTCCCTACCCCTCCCTCCTTCTCCCTCCTCCTCACCCCCAGGCACTCAGACTTTCAGACAGAAGAGGTCAGGGAGAGACTAACAAGCCCCTCATTACTCTAGATGTCCCTACCTCAAAGAGATTTCTCCACCTTCCTCTTTGACACAAGGGAGAAATAGGGCCCAGAGGGACTGATCTTGCATCTCCCACAGCTTCCTGGCAAGGCGGGCATCCCATTGGTTGGGCCCAGTGATCCCGCTACTGCCAGCTCAACCCTCTCCACAGAGCTGAGGCTGGTGGGGGGCCCAAGCCGCTGTCGGGGGCGCCTGGAGGTCCTGCACAGTGGCTCCTGGGGCAGCGTCTGCGATGATGACTGGGACGTGGTGGACGCCAATGTGGTGTGTCGCCAGCTAGGCTGTGGCCTGGCACTGCCCGTGCCCCGGCCCCTAGCCTTTGGCCAGGGCCGGGGCCCCATCCTGCTGGACAACGTGGAGTGCCGTGGGCAGGAGGCTGCGCTGAGCGAGTGCGGCAGCCGGGGCTGGGGCGTTCACAACTGCTTCCACTATGAGGATGTGGCTGTCCTGTGCGATGGTGAGCAGAGGCCTGAGTCGGGAGGGCAGATGGACTGTGGGAGGCAGCAGCAGGGCTGCAGGCTAGATAAATAAAGGAAGGGACTTCCCAGGGGTAAAAAGGCTGTTTGATGCAGAGGACTGGGCCCAGGCTGCATTGTGTGGGGGAAGAACCCCAGCCTAGGTGTTAGTGGGACTTTGTTGTTGTTGTTAGGTGCCACTGAGTCAGCTTCGACCGACTCATAGTGACCCTTTGTAGGACAAAAGGAAACACTACCCAGTCTTGTGCCAGCAAGAAGGGGCCATCCACTTCTCAAAAGAACTGACCTGTGAAAACTTTATGAATAGTGTGACCTTAGGCAGAAAGAAAATCAGCCTCACTGCTTCTAATCTGGGCCTTGATTGTCCCAGCAGAGCCCCTTTTCCCATTTTTAAAACCTGATGATTGGGGCTACACTGGCCTTAAGCACCATTTGGCCTTGAGAGGCTTTGACTATGAAAGCAGTGGTTCTAGCTTTCAGGTGAATCACCTAGAGGGCTTCTTAAAGCCCAGACTGCAGCCCCATCCCTAGCGTTTCTGGTTCTGTAAGTCTGGGGTGGGGCCTAGGAATCTCTGTATCTAGAAAGTTCCCAGGTATTGCTACCTTAAGAACTTCTACATTAGAAGAGCTCAGGACCCAGGTGGCCCCTTCTCCTGTCCCATCCCTGAGATCCTGGCTTTGACCCTTTGTGTAGACAGAACCTTAGGGGTCTTTGCCCCTGCCTCTCACTCACCTTGTGGGTGTGTGGATGGAGACCAGAAAGATCCATGGATCTTCCTCCCTTCCACCTTGCTTCCTTGCCAGAGTTCTTGCCCACCCAGCCCCCAAGGAAGATGTTAACCAGCAGGGCTCTCCCCACAACCTCCCAGAACGGGAATGGTAAGTTAAAGTAATTTGGGTGCTGCTTGGGTCTTTGGAGACAGACCTAGGGAACGGGAAGTGCCACCCTAGGCAATGGGAAGTGAGGAGTTACAAACGGGCAAACTAGTCGCTCCTCCTGTAGGCCCTCAGGCAGCTCACACACACACACACACACACACACACACACAAACTTACTACCATGGAGTTGGTTCCGACTGATAGCGACCCCTCCTTGGGTTTCTGAGGCAATACCTCTATGGAAGTAAATTCCCCAGTCTTCCTCCCCAGGAGTGGCTGGTAGGTTTGAACCGTTAGCTTTCTGGTTAGCTCACAGTCTGTAGAAATAGGAACACAGCCAGTGTGGGAGTTGAAAAATAAAGTTAGCACAAGGTTAGAGGAAATGAGGTGGGTGTGGGGGCTGGAGCTTACTCTGCAGTCAAGCAAAAACGATGATGACAAAAGAAAATGAAAAGCTTCCCCAAAAAGAGACATATAAAGCACACAGAAGCCTGGAAAAAAAAGACAGTTCCATGCATTAGGAGATCAAGGAGGACTTCGTGGAGGAAGAGTTGTTGGAGCAGGAGTTGGAACACTGAGAGGACTTGCACTGAGTAGTAAACGAGAAAGCACATCCTAGACGAGAACACAGAGGGCTGGTTTTAGGAGTGATAAAATTAGCTAACCTGTCCTGTGATCCCACAAACCACCCCAATCTGGACCGGAGGCAGAGCATTGGGGCTAATCGTAGGTGAGTGGTTGGTTAGGTTCATTTTTGTAAGGGATGGGAGGGAGGCCAAGCCCTCTGGGAAATACCTCCCTGCCCGCCCCACCAGGTGAGGGCAGCGTACGCCTGGTCGGGGGCACAGGCCCTTGCCAGGGCCGAGTGGAGATCCTGCATGGCGGCCTATGGGGCACCGTGTGCGACGATGACTGGGGGCTGCCAGACGCCGCGGTGGTCTGCCGCCAGCTGGGCTGCGGGACGGCCCTGGCAGCCACCACCAACGCCTTCTTTGGCTACGGCACTGGGCACATCATGCTGGACAACGTTCACTGCGAAGGAAGCGAGCCACGCCTAGCAGCCTGCCTGAGCCTGGGCTGGGGCGTGCACAACTGTGGCCACCACGAGGACGCTGGCGCGCGCTGCGCAGGTGCGGGCTCCTGGGGGCGGGGCCTGCAGGGAGAGGACAGGGGCGGGGCGGGGCGGGCGGGGTCATAGGGCGGGGCCTGCCACAGGGGCTCCGCCCAGATAGCTACAGGAGGCGGAGTCAGGGCGGGGGCGGGGCGTTGAGCTGCCTCGTGCTTCCCAAAGCTGTTCTAAAATTTACTGTTATATCTCAAAACTGCTCTAGAAGTGCCTCAGACTATCACAATACTCCCATAGTACTCAGTGCTTCTTGTGATACATACTACGACTGTTTTGCCCTACCCAAACTCCATAATTACCTAGCAGGAGCCCCAAGAATGCCCCCAAAATTTCTAGCAATTTCCCAGTACTCTTCATCTAATACTTCGTAGTAAAATAACAATATTCTAGTATTGCCTTAGAAATACTTCCCAAAACCCATTACTGTTGATTCTGACTCACAGTAACCCTATAGGACACAGTAGAACTTCTCCATAGGGTTTCCAAGGAAATCTTTAAGGAAGCAGGTTGTCACATTCTTTTCTCTTCTGCTCTAGTGCTGGGTACCTCCACTCTCACAGCACTGCCGCCCTCGGCCACAGGAGAGGACTGGGCTTGGCACACAGAGCCATTGGGTAAGGAGGTGCAGCTCTCCAGGGGGACAGTGGTGGCAGCAAGATGGGTGGAGCTGGGCACTGAGAAGGGCTGCACTAGAGCACAGAACTGCAGCTCTACCGAAGGGGACAACCAAAACTCATGTTCTAGTTGTTTCCAGCTCTTAGGGACCCTGAAGGACAAAGCAGAACTGTCCCATAGGGTTTCCAAGGCTGTAAATCTTAATAGATTGCCATGTCCATCTTCCCTGGAGCAGCTGGGGGGTTCGAACCACTGACCTTTTGGTTAGCAGCCAAGCACTTAACCACTGCACCACCAGGGCTCCATGAGCCACAGGCAAAGGCCCCTTAATGCACCAGGCCAAGGCTTTTCGCCAAATGGTAAAGAGGTGGGTAAAAAAATTAACAGATGGAGCAAGGATGAATCCACAGCTTTAAAGATTTGGATGGGTAATCAGATTTCTTTAAAGCTTCGAAATAAAATTGGGTTGGTGCTGAAACTGAAAATTGAGAGGTCTTGTAACAGGGTTGAGATAAAAAGCTGAATCAAGGGGAGAATTGCATTAGGCATCAGGGTTGGATTTATAATTGGGATTGAAATTAAGATTCTATTCATTCCAATTGAGTTTCCTGAGGACCCCACCCCAGGTCAGACAAAATAGTGACTCTGGGATTGAACTTGTGTGGTGCGCGGGTTTGGCACGATTGAGGGGACCTCAGTAGGAGCCCCGGTAAATTGGCCTCCTTGTCCCTTTCGAGGAACTCTGGTGGCACAATGCCTAAGACTAACCAGAAGGCTGGCGGTTCAAACCCACCAGCCACTCCTCGGAAAGCAGGCTAGGCAATCTATCTCCCCAGTGATACCGCCTCAGAAACCCAAGGAGAGGTCGCTATGAGTCGGATCCGACTCCACGGCAGTGAGTTTGGTTTTCAAACACTCTAGACGCACTGTTTCCACAGCTACCGGAGCTGGTGCCCAGCCTTCCAGGGAGACTGCACTGCTCACCACAAGCGTCGGGGCTGCGGGGAAGAAAAGTAAGTGGCGGAGTCGGGGTGCCACGGGGGGAGAGGGTCGGGCCGGGGCTTTGACCCGGAACCAGCCGCCCTCTGGCCGCGGGCCTGTGCGCCCCGCAGGCGGGCGGCTGCGGCTGGTGGGCGGCCCGGGCCCGTGCCGCGGCCGCGTGGAAGTCTTGCACGCCGGGGGCTGGGGCACCGTATGCGACGATGATTGGGACTTTGCGGATGCGCGTGTGGCCTGCCGCGAGGCGGGGTGCGGGCCCGCGCTGGGCGCCACGGGCCTCGGCCACTTCGGCTATGGTCGCGGCCCCGTGCTGCTGGACAACGTGGGCTGCGCCGGCACCGAGGCCCGCCTGAGCGACTGCTTCCACCTGGGCTGGGGCCAGCACAACTGCGGCCACCACGAGGACGCGGGCGCGCTTTGCGCAGGTGAGGCGCGCAGGCGTGCGCACTGCGGCACGGGCGGGGCAGGGCAGGCTCTGAGGAGGGGGCGGGGCTGCGTTGGAGCCCGTCAATGACGTGGGCGGGATCTGATGAGGAATAGGCGGGGCCGCTCATGAGCACGCATGCTCCGCAGAGAAAGGCGGAGCTCGCCCCCTTCGGTGTTCTCTGCGGCTGCGCAGTGTGGGCTGGGCCAAAAAAAAAAAACGGAGCTCCCTCTGCAGTGCGATAGTGGGGCGGAGCCTGGGAAGGAGGCGTGCCCTGCGGCAATGAGGGGTGGGGCGGGGCCGGCCGGAGGTGAGGAATAAGGTATAAAGTCTGCAGAAGAGGCTGTAAGGGGCGGGGTTGGGGCGCTGTTGCTGTTTGGTAAGTTGAGGCCGGGCCGAGCTCTCATAGGCAAAGTCTATCAGACTACAGGGAGCGTCTGACCTTTGGAAACAGTCAATGGGAAAGGGTGCCACGACATTTCAAAATGCTTGTGTTCGTTGATTGGTGTTGGAATTAAGATCTACACACTCATTCCGTGCCCCCTCCCCATAGTCTTGGCTACAAAGGTTCTACTTTGGGCTCCAGGGCCAAAGAAGCAAAACCTCCACTTCTGATTCAAGAGGTGGGGAGGAGAAAGAAATCCTGTGAAATCCTTTCCATTCCCAGAACAGCCTTCTCTTGGGAGAGTAGGAGGTGACCTGGCCCCAAAGAATATAGTCCCCAATGTGACTGTCACTTCTTTCTGTCTGTCCTTGCTGAGCCAGGCCCAGAGGAGCTGGGGCTGCAAGTCCAGCAGGATGGTTTTGAAACCACCCAGGTGCCTACTCCTCGGCCCAGGGACGGTAGGTGCCTGCAGCCCGCAAGAGTGGGTGAGGGGGCACAGGGATGGGAAGGGCTGGGATTGGGGGGTGTCACGGCCTGGGGTGATACAGTTCGGTAGATTTGCACCAGTTCTTGAATCCTTTTCCTTTTGTGCTAGTCTCAGGCCTCATTATTAGACGTATGGTATCCAGGAAAAGGGAGGTGGGCTTTAAGGTGGAGCAATCAAGAGAATATGGAGGGGGAATCAAAATGACAAAATGAGAGGGTGGGGATCCTGTCCCAAGGAGATCAATAAAGTAATTCAGTCTGTAGGGGGGTATGTGTAGTAGTTGGGGGTACAGAACCCCTCAGGGGACACAATGGGACATAATCACAGACTTCAGTGAGGTGGCCTGGGGTTGAGGTGCTGAGATGTTGAACTGAGGACTAAGGACAGCGCGAACATGAAGCACCCGGGATGTACTGAGCACGCAACACACACGCCTACCCATTTTCCTTAGTCCTTGGGAGTCTGAGTCTGGGCTGACGTGATCCTACTTTAGCCTCATTTGTCTGCCCTTACCCAGCTGCTGCAAGGGCAGTGCTGTCTCTCAGACCACTGCCCTTCCCCTAGTCTGTCTACCCCTTACCTGCTGTGGCCTGGAGGGGGGGGACCTGGCCTGGGCCAGCCTCCTCCAGCCCCACACCTTCCCCCACACAGGGCATCTGCGTCTGGCCAGCGGAGCCCACAGATGTGAGGGGCGTGTAGAGCTCTTCTTAGGGCAGCGGTGGGGCACGGTCTGTGATGATGCCTGGGACCTTCGGGCAGCGGGTGTCTTATGCCGCCAGCTGGGCTGTGGCCAGGCCCTGGCGGCCCCTGGTGAGGCTCACTTTGGCCCAGGCCGAGGCCCTATCCTCCTGGACAATGTCAAGTGTCACGGGGACGAGAGCGCCCTGCTGCTCTGCTCCCACATCCGCTGGGATGCCCACAACTGCGACCACAGTGAGGATGCCAGTGTCCTGTGCCAGCTGTCGTGACCTGCCGCTCTGCAGACCACCTCTTCTGGGAGCCTGCTGTGGCCTGCCCCGCCTCTTCCAGGAAGCCCTCCTGTGATGACTGCAGGTCACTCTACCCTTCTCCCTCTGCTGGGCAGAGAGAGCTTCCCAGACAGTGTGGTCCTGTGTTGAGGAACCTGGCTCTATCCCCATCAACTTGTGTGACCTCAACCTGTCATCAGCTATTGTGGGCCCAGTTCACTGAAAGCTCCCAGGTTCTGCTCAACCGAAATGGGGAAAGGGAAAAGATTTTTAATCTTCCTCTTTGGTGGGGTTCCTTTACAGCACCCCTGACCCTTTCTTCCTGGGCCCAGGCTCCGGGGCTCTCTGTAAAGGGGGAATCTCCATCTCCCTCCCCCAGCTTGGGACTCCCCAAAATAGGGAAGGCAGAGAGGCCCATAGCTTTCACCTTCGACTCCCAGGGGCTGCAGAAGAACTTGGGTTCTTGCCCTGCCCCACTCCACGAGGGCCGGGCTCGGATGGTGCTTGGCTGAACAAGGGGGCGTGGCGGGGGGGGTCATCCAAAACAGGGACAGCAGCCCCTTCCTGCAGTTGGATGCTTCGTCTCTAATTTATGCTGCCCCTACCACAGAGCCTCCACTTTGCAGCAGCAAAGAACCCAGGGGGCCTGTAGCCACCCACTCCTCAGTGCCAAGTCAATAAAGCATTATTCTCCCATCTGTAAACTGAAGTTAATGTTTGGGCCTAGATCTGTGGGTGGCATCAGGAAAGGCTCTGGTCAGGACTCTGGAGGAAACCGGCTTAGGGCTCGAGGGTTAAGAGCACCATCAGAGAGATCTCCGCAGGCCCTGCATGCCCCGGAAATGCTGACTCACAGTGTCAGGCCTGGGAGGCCCCTAGATAGCTTCTATCTCACCCCTTCTTTCATTTTATGGATCAGCTGTCCAGTGTCAAGCCCACAGGCTCTTAGCTTCCTGGAACCACTAAGAATCACCACAAACTTAGTGGCTAAAAACAACATAGATGTATCAGCTTGCATTTCTCGAGGTCCGAAGTTGGAAACGGGTCTCACTGGGCTAAATTCAAGGTGTCGGCAGAGACGGTTCCTTGGAAGCTTTAGGGTAGAATCTGTGCCTTGCCTTTTCCAGCTTTCAGAGGCTCGTTCCTTGGCTCCCGGCCTCTTTCCAGCCAGCAGTCACATCATTCCAACCTCTAATTCTGTCGTCAGGGAGCTCTGGAAGCATAGTACCTAAGGCACTTGACTGCTAACCAGAAGGCTGGAGGTTCAAACCCACCAGCCACTCCTCAGAAGGAAAGTTGGGCAATCTACTTCCGTAGTGATACTGCCTCCCTTGGAAACCCAAGGAGGGGTCGCTATGAGTCGGGTCCAACTCGATGGCATTTAACAACAACAACAATTCTGTCGTCATATCTCTGACTTCTGCCTCCCTCTTCCATCTTTTAATAGCCTTGTGATTATACCAGGAGCTCTGGTGGTGCAATGGCTAAAGCATTTGGCTGCCAACCAAAAGGTTGGTGGTTTGAACCCACCAGCTGCTCTGTGGGAGAAAGATGAGGCAGTCTGCTTCTGTACAGACTACAGCCTTGGAACCCCTATGGGGCAGTTGTGGTCTGCCCTGCTGGGCTGCTATGAGTTGGAATCCACTCAATGGCAGTGGGTTTGGTTTTGGTCATTACACTGGGCCTTCTTGGGTAATATAGGGTACTCTCCCATCTTGCTCCTTGGAAGCAAGAATGGCCAGACTTCGTCTCACCTATTTTGGTCATGTTGTAAGAAGGGTCCATTCCCTGGAGAAGGATGTCATGCTTGGTAGGGTGGAGGGTCGACAAAAGAGGGGGAGGCCCTCAACGAGATGGATTGACACAGTGGCTGCGATGATGGGCTCAAGTATAGCAGCGATTGTGGGGCTGGCGCGGGATCAGGCAGTGTTTCGTTCTGCTGTGCATGGGGTCGCTATGAGTCGGAAACGACTCGATGGAACTTAACAACAACAACAACAACAACCCATCTCAAGGTCCCTAGCTTAATCACATCTGCAAAATCACTTCACCACATATTCATAACATAGTCACAGGTTCCAGGAATTGGGGCATGGACCTCTTTAGGGGGCCATTTCCTATCCATAGGGTCCAAACCTGAGTCTTGGCTCCCAGACAGGGACTGAGATGGACACTTTGTCTCCATTTATCAGGAGACATTCTAGGACCCACTAGAGAGCGTGGGGCTGGAGGAATAAAAGGTGTGGAAATGCCTAAGGATGCAGGGAGTTGGGCAGAGGGACAGGGTGTTGTAGCCACCCTACAGCCCCTGCTCACTCACAGATGCCACTCGGTACGTGGGCACGGCCATCCCACCACACACACATTTCTGTGTGTGCCTCCCTTGTTCTAAGCGATATCACAGCTCCCAACTCTGAACTCTATAATCAAAGCACTTTCATCAACACTCTCTCAGCTGACTGTCACAGCAGCCTGGTGAGGAAGTATTGTTTTCCCTCTTTACAGCCAAGGGAAACTGAGGCTCAGAGAGAGGAAATCATTTGTCCAAGTTTGCGCAATTGAATGGGGACTAGAATCTAAAATTCTTGATGTCCATTAATACTATTCACCAGCGTTTCCAGTTTCCTTCCTTTTGGCACCATAACAAAGTAGTTCAAATTGAGTGGCTGGTAAGAACAGTTTATTGTCTTATAATTCTGGAGGTTAGGAGTCTAAATCTAAATCAGGGTATCAGCCATGTTTTTTTGTGTTTTTTTTTCCCATTGTGGTTTGAGTGAAAGTTTACAGAGAACATTCATTTCCTATTCAACAATGTCTACACATTTTGTTTTGTGACATGAGTTGCAATCCCCTCAATGTATCGGCACTTTTCCCACTTGTTCCCTGGGTTCCCCGTTTCCATCCATCCTTCTTTTCTTCCCCTTCCTGCCTTCTCAACTTTGTTTTTGCACAAATGCTGCACTTTCGGTCTCATATTGTTAATTGTTCTGAGGATACGTTCCTCATAGTTGTGATTGTTCATTTTATAGACCTGTCTATTCTTTGGCTAAAAGGTGACCCAAGGGTGTGTTTAGTTTCAGGTTTGAAGGAGGTCTAGGGGTCATAATCTTGAGAGTTCCACCAGGCTCTATCAGACCAGTACGTCTGGTCATTTTTATGATTTTGAATTCTGTTCTACATTTTTTCTCCCACTCTGCCCAGGACCTTCTACTGTGAGCCCAACCAGAGTGGTGGGTAGTGGTAGCCGGGTACCATCTGGTTCTTCTGGTCTCAGGCTAGTGGAAGCTATGGTTCATGCGGTCCATTAGTCTTTTGGACTAATTGATTCCTTGAGTCTTTCATTTTTTTCACTCTTCTTTGCTCCAAATGAGGAGAGACACTAGTTCCATCTAGATGGCCACTCACAAGCTTTTAAAACCCTAGACACTATTCACCAAAGTAGGATGTAGAACACTGTCTTTGTGGACTATGCCAATTACATGTCATTGATTCTTTCTGAGTGTTCTGAAGGTGAATCTATTTCATGCCTCTCTCCTAGCTTCCGGCAATGGCTAACTAATTATCCTTGGCAATCCTTAGTGTTCCTTGACTCGTAGATTAATCCCTGCCTCTGTCTTCACATGACCATCGGCCCTGTGTCTCTGGGCCTTTGTCTCTTCTCTTTGATAAGGACACCACTCATACTGGATTAGAACTGACCCTAACTGATAACATCATCAAAGACTCTATTTCCAAATAAGTTTCCATTCACAGGTACAGGGGTGAGGACTTCACCCTATCTTTTTAGGGGACACAGTTCAATCCATAACATGTGGCATGGCTGTAGGACATGCTTTGGCCAATGAAATGAGTGGGAGTATCCGCCCGGGTTGAAGTCTTCAAGGACGGATGCATGGTTCACCGAGTTCCCTTTCCCTACAAAAGTGCCCAGTGATGTTCCAGATGCTAACAGCTTCATCAACCTGTGTTCCTGAGGGAGGATCACCTGGAGCCAAGCCTCTGCTGACTCAAGATGGGCACAGAGAGTGAGTGTGAAAGCAGTCTTTGTTGTAAACCATGGTGATTTGTGGTTGTCATTAGAACAGTATAACCTAGCCCACCCAGCAGACACCCAGGCTCCCACATTTTTCTCTGTCCTGAAATTTGTTTTCCAGCCAGTTGTTAGGCTGCTTCTGTTCATTGTCTTATTCAACACACTTCGGTGACCCATCTGTGTGTGCAAGGTCCTACTGAGACTGGGAACACACAGATGAACGAGACAGGGCTTTTGCCCTTGAAAACTCCATAGGTGAACCCAGTGCTGACTTGAGTGCCCTGCTCTCTCCTGAAGTCAGTCTGTCCCACCCAGGACATTGTCACTCCCCTTCAGCCCTGAGTCTCCTTATTTAGTAAGTAGTACTACCAACCACTGGCTTCAGCCAGAAATCTGTGTGTTACCCTCAACAATTCCCACCCCAAACAAGGAATCATTCACTAAATCCTACTGATTCCATCTCCCAAATTCTTCTTGAATCTGCCCATTGCTGTTCATTCCCGCATCTCTCACCATAATGTCCTCATGATTGCCCTGACTCCCACCCACTCTCCATACTATTGCTATGGTGAACTTTCTGATGTTTACAAATCTGATGGTGCTGCTCCCCCACTTAAACCCCTGCCATGGCTCCCCAGTGCTCCTCCTCAGCTCAGCGGACAAGGTCCTGCACGGGCTGACTCTGCCTGTGTTGTCAGCCTCATCCCACGCCTCCTGCTGCCAGGACCTGGCGGGGCTGAACTACTTTCCATTCCTCTAATATCTGGGCTTTCTTCCCACGAGACCTCTGCACACTCTGTTCTCTCTGCCTGGAATACTTGTCACCCTCTCCCTTCCCTTCAGCCAACTCTTACTTAGCCTCAGTTCTTATTCATTTTCTCCAGAAGGCCTTCCCTAACACACACACCCCAGATCTGGACTAGCCGCCTCCATCACACCCTCCCCGGTGACAGCACTCAGCCCCTGC